TTCGCGCACTCGACACGCACGATCTCCGCAGAGGGTTGCGCGGGCATCGTTAGGACATCTCCCGTGCAAGTTTTCCATACTCATACTTGCATACTTGCACTGGGATTGCACTGGGATACTTGCATACTTTTGCACTTGGATACTTACACTGGCATACTTGCCCTTGGATGCTTTTTACCCTTACACTGGGATACGTATAGACGTGTACGTATTCAAGTGTCAGTGTGGAAGCGTAAGTGTTCAAGTACACAGTGTAAGTGTAGAAATGTCAGTGTTCAAGTGCCAGTGTGGAAGTGTCAGTGTGTAAGTGTAAGTGTCGAAGTGTCAGTGTTCAAGGGATTTTCCGGAAGAACCCTTCGCAATGCTTTCGGGAATGAGGGAATCAGCATGCAAGCAGGCAAGACTGATTCTGTCACGGTAGTGCATGAAAGCGATCCATGAATGCCTGTTTTCAGCTTTGCAAGTGTGCATTGCACATTACACAAACAACGCTAAGTTCTTGAAATGGTTCTGCAAACAACAAATATCCCACCATCTGCAGCCTTTGAGTATCTTTCAGTAGCAAACTTCATCGAACGTAGCTTTCACCATTCACATCCACCTACAAGCTTGCAAACTCTGCGCGCGGTTGAAAAAATCGGCGCCCAAATCGGCGCTCCGTTTGCCTGGGCAAATTCTGACGCCGGTGGATTCTGCGAGCCACCTGACGCTCTGACGGATAACACGTTCTGCGCGAAGCGAGGCAGAAGAATTGGTCAATTTGACACTGAAACCGAAACCAGTGATGGTCGCTACCCCGAACCAGCTCAAGTTGGCATACCGGCCCGGTGGGGACGTGGCACTGACCACAAAAACATCCTCAGTACCTACAGGAGCAAAATCAACATCTTAAACTTCCAATTGACACGGACAGCTGGCAATGCACAACCCGACCCAAACGATGAAGATGTTTCTGTCTTGAAAATTGCACGGATGTTAAATGGGTTCCCTTGGCATCCCAAACAACAATGACCACGATGACGACAACAACGACCAAAATGCCAACGATGATAATGCTTAGGCAACTGTCGAATGCCTGATGAATTGCCTGATGAATCATTGTACGTGTTGTTACTGTTCCAAGGAAGTGCTTACACCACAAACATTACACAGGTCGATTGTTCCGAACATCTGACTGCGCAAAGCAAAATGTTCAAAAGCAGTTGTTCTGCAACCATGAGCACAAGCTGTCATTTGCAAACAACTTTGTAGAGGTGAATTGCATTCAACAAGAGTCCTATCGGATCCTAAGCCAAGAATTCACACCTTTGCTAAGTTTCCAGAAAACTCTAGCTGGCTGGTCCGACAATAACCCAAACAAGTGATACGTCCTCCGCTCCAGGAAGAGCGACAAGAAATAAAGTCTTCCCTGGAGAGTCAAACTTCAGTCCCTGCGCCACTTCCCTGGCACCTGCACCCGCGCAGCCATTTCAATGCGCAATGCGATCTGGCTGTACAGCTCTATACAGAAAGTCTTCGCAGAAGCCCAGTCCAGGCAGCAGCACAACAAAAAGGAATCAACCCAAATTCCTCAACGCAGCCTGCGTTGAGGAATTTTGTTTGATTTGTACTTGTTTACCATCCTCCGCGCAAAGGCCTGGACTATGATCCACAAACTTGGTCCCAGCATCTTGTCTCTACAGCATGTGCACTGGAGCACGCAAGCGCACCCCAACTTTGCGTTGGCAGCAGCGTGTGCAACGCAGTGCAATGCTGATCTGGTTTGTACAGGGTTAGAAAAAGAGTCCGAGTCCTGGTAACAAAATTAGCAACTCAACCCTTCATCACAAAAATGTTGTACTGTCCTCGCCCTGAGGGTTGTTCAAAGCTTTGTCATTGAGAAAACTCTGCGCATAGTTTTGTAAAAACTCCCAGGAGACCTCAAAAAGGCAGGGTTGAGACGCATGTTAAACAATCTTGATACAATCTCCTTGCGTCCTGGATCGTCAGGGGTACTGTACTTGGTATATCACGGTAAGAACGGCTCACGATCGTCATCCTCGTTGCGTTAGTCCTCGTCGCGTTAGTCCTCGTCAGCGTCATCAATTGTTTCACCCTGTTCGTGCTGACATGAAAAATGTTTAAAAGTGCTCGGTGCTTTTCTCTGCAAAATTAACTTCGGTGAGCCTTGTAACAACCCAAGTGTTGTTATTCTGCAGAAAAAACAACTCAAAACAACTTTGCGACAATCTCCTGGCGTCAGCGTTGACCACGTTATTCCACGGTATCCTCGTCATCGTCATCCCGCTAACCCCTTGTCAGCGTAAACCAGCTGCTTAGCCTCCTTCCTGCTCAGCGGGCCTTGGATACTCAAGAAGTTGATCTACATCGCACGTCTTAATGTCTGGTACAGAGAACATCCTGTGCCCAACTGTGGGGTTGAAGGTCTTCCAAAATATTAGCGGAAAGGTCCACATGTGCAAAACAACTCAGATGTGAAGGGATGGTTGGGGAAAAGCGAAAAGTGAGAGAGGATTGATAGTGAATGGCTGAGTGAGAGAGCGATATGAGCAAGAGAAAGTGTGTAAGCTACTCAATACAACGACGACCACTTTCAGCCAATATAAAACGCAGGAAGCTGACACCTCTTTGAGCGCGTCAAGCATGGGGTCGAATGATCCTGACAAATGACTGACTCTGTGACCAGCGTCCTCCCAAGTATGCTGGTGAAGCGAAATGCTCACCAATCATCAATCGAACGAGTAGCTGCTTGTCTCGCTTTTCTTCATTCTCTCCCCTCCTGGAATTTGAGAAGGACTTGGTCTGGAGGGTTGACAACCACTTCCGCTACATTCTGCGGCATCTGAGACATTGATGGCGCCCCCCTCTTGCGATGAATCTCTGGCTAGATCGTGAACACGCCTATCCATGAAGCGCGGGCATCGAATTCCAGATTCATCGGTCGCCTTGCGTCTGTAGTGGCCTTGATCAACTGGTGCCGGTAACGTTCCAACATTTGTGCCCTGTTTGCAAAATGAGATGCCATGTTTCACTCCATATGAAGCTTGATGATGCGCTTGTACTATTCTTATAGACACGCGGCGGTGAACACCTTCAATCGACCTGGCGCAGCTGGGGTGATAGCACTGACCGCTTGAAGCCGAAGTCGCCGCCTCGTACCTGAGCATGAACAAAGCAGCCTGTAGACCCGCTTGCTGCCCAAGCCTCGAATGCCCCGGGATGTCTGGCCCTTTGGAGGTCGCATCTTGTTGCAGAACCCAGCTCCTGGCTTTCATCTGCTTCACTGAGAAGTCGGCGTATGGTTCTCCACGAGTCACCTTGGCTTTCAGTGCATCAGCTTGTTCTGCAGTTTGCTCAGAGTCTGCCAGTGGATCGGCTCCTTTGATCTCAAGGTGGAAGTGGCACGCTTTGTGGATTTCTGTTTGAGACAGTTGAGGCACTTCTTACTCGTCCAGCACTGAGGGAGGCTTCACTTCCTCTGTGAACCACTCAAAGCCACTGACTGCCCACCTACAAGCACCGCTGGCGTGTGGGTCGGTACTGCATCCGCAGTGCGGTCTACGTCCTCCATTCCGAAGAGCAGCCCCGAAGTGCGTCCCATCAACGCCAACTGAATTCTTCGACAGTTGTAGGCTTGCGGGGGTCGCCACCGCCAGCAACAGTGATTCGCTGAGGAGGCTGAGGAGAAGACATACACTGAAGGCAAGTCGCCCAACAAAGTGCTGAACTGATTCCATGTGCTTTCTGCAGTACCCCCAAAGTTCTACAAATAACTAGCTGATTTTGTGTCAGCAACACTTCATCTCTGGGGCAGCTTGGTCCCCAGCCTGCATTGGTGGAGCACGGAGTAATCACTGAAGATCGACCAACAAAACCACACCCCGCCAGAGGCTCCTGCGTTCCCTTCAAAACAATAAAAACTTCAAAGTCATGGCATGAAGAAACCTGGGTCCTGTCAGGTCCTTGTAGCCAGAATTTTACAAGGCACAGTGAAAGTGAACAAAACCACACCACTTAAAGAAGCTTCTACCAAACCATACTTATCACGTTCATGGGAACTCAAAGGTGACAATTAGATTGGAAACCAGCGCCACCACACCTCTACCAAATTCAAGCAGTTAGAAGAATGACAGTTGGGCACTTGTTTCAAGACTACCAACCTCACGATGTCTTGGCCAAGCAGCGCATCCACCTGTGCATGAGGCTCTTGACCTTCCGAGCGATCTTGATGCTTTCTCACATACTCGCGCCTCAAGTGGCCAGCGGACATAGGAAAGGAGAGCATCCTGCGCTGTTTACTGAGGGCAGTGATGGCTTGTTGGGTGACGAAGGGTCATGTAACGATGTCTGAACCTCTATTTTGTCAACTTCTTTTCTCTCAGAAAACTCTAGACTCCAGAAACCTCTACTCGCGGTTCCTTTTCTCTATAAACTCTTTCTTGGGCTTCTTGTCTCTAGACTCTAGACAGCTTCACCAATCGGATTGTTCTCTAGAAGTGTCTTTGGTTCCTCTTGTTAGAAGTTTCTGCATTTGGCTGTAGTTCTCTTGGAACCTCTACTTTTGGAAAGGTAGACATGTCTGCTGTTTGCTTTCCCTAGAAGCCTTTCTTGTGGCTACTGTTCTTTAGGCACTTGCGGCTAGAAATCGCATGCCTTTGGCTACTTGTTTCTACTTTGTCTACTTTTCTCCAAAACTCGCCGCTTTTGGCAACTTTCTCTAAGAGCCTTCTACTTCCACAGGCCTTTCTCTGCTAAGTTTCTAACTCTTACTTTGGGCAACCTTTTTAGAAACCCATGCTTTCGAAAGCTTTCTCTGAAGAACCACTTGCGGATACCAGCGCTGACAACGCATGCATTCTGAAGAAAATACTGTGAAACCAAGCACTTGTCCAAACCATCTCGGGTCATGCACCTCATTAAAATGGATCCTGGAAGCAATGTCTGCTGATCTGGGAGCAATCAAACTGATACGAGGCCCCCTGCGAGTTCGGTTGCGCGTGCCCGTTGAAAAGAAAAACATCGAGCTTTGCCTTTTGTGAGTTTCTCTTTGACATCCAATCACACCCCTGTGCCTTGGGATCTGGTTTGTCACCGAGAAACTGCTTCTGGTCGATGAGTTCCTCATCCACGTCGGAATGCGCATCGCTCAGAGGAATCTGGCCGCGCTCGCCTCATTGCACGAAAGGTCTCTTGCGATGCAAATCCACACCTCGCAGTCGCTTCACAGGAGCTTTGCACACACCCGTTCAAAGCATTGCGCCATTCATTTAGACAACCGTATTGCTTCAAGCAATGCTCGAAAGAGCCCACGGCTAAGATTCCCGCATGTCGGGCACCATCTCGTGTTCAAACACTGCACACCTGGCACTGCAGGCTGCGGTCTGCCGCCCAGTCGCCAAAACGTTACAGTAACCCCAAAAGTCGGATGTTGTTGCATGTTTCTACAAAGTTGCGCATACTTGCCTTCTTGAGGCTCTCCACACGGACCTTTTTGCTGAAGTCTATGCAAACATGTTTAGATATGGTATGATAGGACAAACTGGCCGGGCAAACACATCCGGCACGCCCATCCGCAGGAGCATAGATGAAGCTTACAAGGTCCTATGATGCAGCTGTCCATCTCCGCGAAGGTGCACACGGCTGTCATGGCAACAAACGAGAAACGGAGGTGTCAGAAATCAACCTTGCTGGTCCTTGAAACTGATCACCCAAAACTGTCCACTCCCGAACCACTGTTTGCAAAGACGTGCAAATGAAACAAACACATGACCTCGGCGAATGATGGCTAGGACCAAACATAATTTATATGAAGAGTTGAAGAAGGGGATAAGCACAAAAAAAATAACTGAAGACAAACAGACTACCCACCCTTTCCTCAGCAACCGTTTGCTGGAAACGGGTGAGGACTAGAACTGATGAGTCCAAAACTACCTCCGCATGTTGTTTGCTGGAGCCCTTATGTAAACCAACCAAGCAGGTTATGAGGACTAGAGCCACAAACAACCCTCTTCCCAGCAACTGCTTGCTTTAACCTTCAGGCTAACAAAGAACAAGTCATTTGGGTGCTGTCAGCTAGGTTCGACAAGCTGGAGCCCTAACAAATGGAGTAGACCTATAGACAGAGGGGTGGCATGCACACCAAAAGAACATCACTTTAAACAAAGACAAACCGCTTAGTCGCGGTCGCAGTGGTAGTGGTGCAAGGGACAGGATGAAACCAGTGGTCTACAGGCAGAACCCGTTTTGCGCAATTGTGCAAAGATTCACAAATGGATTTTGGAAGCACGAGCTGTGTGGTTTACATCCCTTGCGGACACGCATGGCAACTTTGCGCCATGCCATCATGACTCCCCAGCAGGATGCTTTGGGAGCCATGGAGCCGATACCGCTGAGGATGGACGAGATACAGGAGTTGAACATGCACATTATCAACCCCACCTCCAATTGCAAAAAACATATAGAACCAGCTAAATGGTTGAATTCTTGAAATGTTTCACCCTGGTGAACCGAGTCACTACACATGTACGTTGTGGTGTGTGTGGGAGAGTATGCACAGATGCAACAGCACATAAATATATTTGTGATATACATGCGTGACACTGATGTAGACACAAGCAACTCTAAGATCAATAGGTCTCAGAACACTCCTCCAGGGGGCCTACTAATCATTCATCAGCACCCACCCTATACATATAGTATAATGATATAATGATATGATATAATAGAGAGAGAGAGAGAGCTCCACAAAAAGACGTGGCGGTTAACACAAGCACATACTGTACCCAGCGCCCTTGTGGTAAACATTCTACATAGATTGACTGGGAGTCACCTCATAGTCGACCTGGGACAACACACTACCCTGCGGGCAGCGCTTGAGGTGTTCATCGCCAACGACAGGGACCAATAACAATCCCTAGCAGTAGGCATCTGATCTGAAATGATCTGACTATCATTATTTCTCAGCATGTCATCGTGGTCATCGTTTTGCCACTAGAAATCCGGATTGGGACCACTCAATAGGCCTCCTCGACCAACGCGGTCTTCCCTACGCCGGGTGGACCCAGTAGGCAAACCTCAGCACCAGGCTGAAGACGCATCTCGGGTTGGTCCAAGAAGTGCTTGAGGACTTCGGGTTTGTAGCCCACCCCCAGCCTTCCAACCACGGTGTACGCTTGAAGAGTTCGTTGTACAAGCAGGCATCCAACTTCCAGTTCTCAGCTGGCAACGTTCGGCTTGTTCCGCCGCGCCAGGACGTGTAAAACACGCTGAACCTCCTGGCAAACTTGCGAGTCTGGGTCACAGGTATGATTACCTTGACAAACCTTGATGTTAATTGGATTGCTTGATGATCATTGACCAGATCCATGCTACTATTCTTTCGGACTTCTGCTTAGACCATGGAAAAGACCAAGCACCGGACCCACAGTCAACCACCAGTCGCCCTTGCGGACACCTTGCCTTCTCACGGCCGAAAACCGCGTCCAGCCGTCCGGCCGCCGCCTCCAACACCAAATCCTGGGCGACGAGGGCAGCCACAACGGCTGGCGGCCACGACGGCACGCATGAATCATTTTCGGACGTCGGGTACCGGATTTAAAAAGCTCGTGTGACGCAAGCATCAGAAATAGGATCATGGGCTGAACCGGGACATTGTTAACATGAAAAACCTCTTCTCTTTCCTTACCCATTCAGATAGCAAACTTGGCCTTCCCGAAACGTGCCAGTACGGAAGAGGAGTCATCCTGGCTCAGCACATGGACTGCAAAGAAAGGCTACCCAACCACCACTCAGCGGTTGCCACAACTCCTTCAAGGACTGTTCCAACCAGCATCTGTTCAATCTTTCGGAGCAATATTCTAACGTTCACTGACTGATTGTCCTTGGCCCAACCACACATTGGCTCCAAAACCCAGAAGACCCTCCAAAAAAAGAAGGAAAAGAAATCAGAAAGCTGACAGAGTCTGGCAGAACCCTGCCAGAATCTTTCTACCCTGTTCACCACTACGGGAGGACCCCATGAATCCAGGCTGCAAACCAAGCACCTCTTCGTCCTGAGTGGCACCTTTGGGCCTTGTCGCTGCAAATGTCGTGCGAGCTGACGGTGACCGAGCTAACTTCAACCGACAACCCTGTTCGCCGAATAACAGAGGTCTAAAATCACTTCAACTCTCTAGTAGCTCCATTGGACATGTCTCGGTGCTTGAACCTTGACCTAACCATTCCCAAGCAATCCTTCTTCACATTCCAGTCTAAACCTCCACCCAGTTTCCGATCTGACCAAAAGCCGCCTGCCTCTCGCGTTGCATCAGCGGCGTCCCGGAGGCTCTGGGCCTCGGCCCCTTGGCCCCTCGAATCCTCGAACAGAAGCCTCTGTCCTCCGTGCTTGGCCCGCTTCGGATTGCCATGCTTGATATCCGAAGTACCATGTCCTGAGGGCCCCACGGAGGCACCAGGCTTTGGCCGGACGCCTGTTTGAGCTTGGTAGATGAACCGCAAGTCCATTGAACTTTGAAAAAAAGCGCATTAAAACTGGAGAAAGCGGTATCAATGGATGTGGGTCCAACTGGTGCCTGTAAGGAAGTCCGCAAGCCCTCCGCCGTCAAGCCGTTGGACTGAAGCAGCTCTGCCAAGCCTTTTGCACCGTGCAAATCTGAGGAGAACAAACAACGACCCTTCAATACGGCAAAAGTGCCCGTGGTTCAAAAAGACCTCTGTCGTCCTGCCGATATGAAGAGAAGAGTGGGGGATCTTCGATTGACCTCCATAAGCTTTTGTGCCTACCTTGGTTAAACTCCGCATATTTTTTTGTATCTTCACCTACCAGGTGAATCAAAAGGGCGTCTAATGTTTTTTGGTATATATTCACCTATCTGCAAGGGGTGTCTAATGAGCACCCCTTTCAGTAACACATTCCCGATGTAAGAGAACCCAAGTAACAATTCCGATTCAAGAGAACAACGTGAAAAGATCCCGATGTAAGAGGACAAGGTAGAACCACGAAATCCGAGATCGGGCGACACGGAATGACACGGTATGGGCTTACATCGGGTTTTCTTAAGGTGTGTCCATTGGACACTCCTTAGGCTTAAGGGGTGATCAATGAGCACCCCTTGGTTTTGTCGGGTTTTGACCACCGACAAGGAATGACACGGATTGACACGCAGGCGGCTGACGTCTCCAGCGACCCGAATCCCAAATCCTGTCCATTCACAAGTATCCCTTAAAAAGTTGTGATTTTATACGAGGATCCCTCAAAAGCACTTGTCAAACACTTAGATTTCTAAGGCGTGTCCAATGGTTTTTAGCTTAAGGGGCGTCCAATGGACACGGTTTCGATCTACCCGGTATGTGTATCCGCGATGTAATCCATGACCCCAACAGGTCGACCACACGTGCTAACAGGGTCACTTAGAGAAAGCATGCTTCTCATGGCTTTACACCAAGGCTCCACACCCAAGTGTGGCATAAAGAGCGCGGCACAAAGGTCTCGCAAGCCCACCTGGAAAACACGACCCGTCGAGCGCCATGAGCTCCCGGGTCGAAGGAACCGTCCAGCGGTGGAGCGTTTTGGGCCTTCAAGTGAATAAGACTCCAAAGCGTTCTTCCCACAAAAAGAGAATAGAGATGTTTTGTTCGCGTAAAGGTTGGAGGCCATCGCTTCAGCGTCTCTCTACCTTAGCAGGAGCTCGTTGGGCAGCAGCGGCATCCAGCAGGCTTTGTAACTCCTGCGAGCCGAAGTGCTACATCGCATGCTCTTCCAAAGCCGTCGCTTCGTGATGGATATCAACTGAACCTGAACCTACTAAACCATGCTAAACCCATTTAAGTTCAATCCATACCTAGTCTGAAGTGTTCGCGAGGAGCCGCCTTTCACTCAAAGCCACGGCTCCTCGTTTGGGGTCCAATCATCACCTTATGCCAGGGTTGCGGTAACCATCTGAACCACCGGAGAACATCACAAGACCACTGCACAACTTAACAATGAGCATCAAAAGTTGGACCACCTTGCAAATAGCTGCGGATCACCACTCCTTGCTGGCACCCGTCTGCGCTCGCTTGAGCAGTTCGCTGGCGGCACCAGGGACGTTGGCACCTGGCAGTGATTTCGCAAACCCTCCACTCTGGGATTTTCCCTCCATGGTGATGTCGGGCGAATTGCTTGGGGTTCCCGTTGAGAGTCATACACAGGGCGCTGTTGAGAGTCATGCACCTGTGTCCAATCGCTGTGTCTGAAGTAACTTAGTAACCTGGACATGAGTCGCCCTACCTCTTCCGGCAGTTGACTCAGGGTAGAGGGCAACGGGCAACGGTGAAGTGGACACCCTCAATCTTTAGAGTAGCGAGCTCGAGAGGCAGGCCCGTGTGCAGCAAAAAAAAAGAGAGAAAAGTCAAAAAACCATGACAAACCTGCATCACACGCCATCAACGTGTTTCAGGCGCTCCAACGTGTTTCAGGCGCACTATGACACTGGAGCCCAACAGAGTCAGAATGGCTTCAAGAAGTTCCATCAATCCTGGCCCCCTCTCGATCACAATCAGGCGGATCGACCCCAAGGCGTTGGTGCCCCAGTAGTGCCCAGAACCTCTCGACGTAAAGCGGGGGGAAGAGAAGCCCAAAGTGCTGGGGCCCTGGGGTGGGGCACGGAGTGAAGAAGAATGACCTTCTTTTGTATGGTTTCGTGTCAAACAAGTAGTGGCCACCGGAGTAGAGAACCACCGGGAACTTGGAACTCAGCCATAGGCCTTGGCGGCCTTGGCCTAGAACAACTTAACTCTTGAGTCTTGGGAATCTGCCCAAGCTTTTCATGTTACTCTCCTCCAAGCCCCAGTTTCTCTTGATCAGGCCCAACAGCCAACAGCACTCTGCCTCGGCCAACAGCACATAGGCCACATGAGCCTCAAGTGGGCTTGTTGGCAAGATGGAGAAGAAAAAGCATGAAAAGTTATGTATGTCCTCGATCACACTTGGGATGCCGTTTGATTGCATTTCAGCAAAAAAAGAGCACAAATATGATGTCATCCCACCCAGAATGGAGTGCATGCAATTGCAAAGCGACAGCTCTGACGGGTTCAAAGTCATCACCTCCATCACCCGCTTTTCGAACAAACTGGACAATCGTGCGGCAACAACAATAGCAACCTTCTGTTCGTTACCTTTGGTACATTGGTCATCGCAAACATGCAAAGCCTACATTCCCTCCTCTAGGGTCTGGGACCACGTGCTGAATTGCATGAGACACCCTGCTGGGCAGAGAGCTCCTCAGAACGCCTTAAGGCCTGCACGAGTACATGTGGGTTGGGACAGGTAGGCCCGGAACATCCTCTTTCCGCAAGGTACAAACGGATCAAACAGGCGAATTCAAATTGAGATGGCTTTCTACAGATTCTAAAGGAAACCTTGTGAAAATCCAAGTGCGTTTCTTGTCGCAGCTTCAGCACCTGGAAAACGAACAATGAGGAGCCTAGGGCTCATGCGGACCTCGCTGCAACATTGTCATTGTCCAGCAGTTTGCTGTCTTGAAAGTTTCTTGAAAAATCCTGCTCTCTAGTCAAGTCTCCTATTTTGGCAAGCAGGGAGAGAAGAGACGGAGAGAAGGGGGAGATTGCAGTCTTACAGTAACAAGGGCATTACTACTAGTAGCTAGAAGCTACTAGTAGCCATGCACTTGTTATTAGTAGTATATAATGGGTAGATGGGACTCCGCTTCCACCCAGTTGCCTGGCCTTCAACGCATCTGGGGAGTAGTCACTCCGCTGCAGATCCTGGATCCACGCCTTGCCCAGTCGAAGAGATAGGTGAGCTGAACACGAAGGCGCCCAAATAGAAAAGCTTGGGAATAGAAAAGGAAGAGAGGTCCAAGACATGGTCTGAACATGTACTGTTCCATATACCTGTATTGTTCTTTGTGGGTGGGCACTATGGTGACCGTAGACAAAAACCCTTTGTGACCACAGGCCGGCCTCTAGTCTTCACAGCAAGCCAAAGATTCATAAGATTCTAAGGCCCCTGCCGGCGGTGGTATACGCCGCAAGGGACCACTGTAGTCATTCCTGGGTCAAGAAACCAATGCTATTAATTAGTTAAGTGTCCCTAAAACTCTAGAAACCAAATCATGAGAGCGGGTGCTATCCTGCGTCCTAAGCAGTAGCTACCTAGCTACTACTAGCTACCTCTAGCTACTACCTACTTCCTACCTACCTCTACTCACGGCCTACCCCCGCCCAAAAGAAGAAAGCCAGCACATGTGTGCACCGAATCCTGGAACTTGGGAAAGCAAAAAGTGCGGTTTGAGCGATCTACAAACGGAATTGTCCTGAAATGCCTGGTATGACCAATCTTCTCACATAGGACCTATAGAAGGGGCCACATTGAAATGTCGATGTTCAAGGCCGCCCAAGGCCCCGGCCCCACACGTTGTCCAGCCCATCCCTCATCATGGCCCATGACCCTATCCGATGATGCACAGCTCCGGAGGCTCCTGGGCCTTCGCTCTTATGGGGCACAACTGACGATATCCGAAGGCCGTCTTGTTAACATGAGTTGTTTTTGTGATATCCCTCCGCAGAAGCTAGAGTACATATCAAAATCAAATAGTGACCGCGTGCTTCTTCCTACCTGCCCTGCACTATGCACAGGGCATCCACTATCTTCTCTGCGCAGAAAAGGGTGGATCAAGTATCCATGTCGGTAGGCCAAACTCGCTTCTGAGATTCTGCTAGTATGTCCTTCAAAGCTCCATATTATCCATGCTGCTTGTGAAGCAAAAATGTCCTGATCTGATCAGCTGGCTGGTCAAATAACACAAACGTCAGGCACACTTGGATGCTGACCTCACCTGCAACCAAGATGAGGTACAAGACTTTTCCATCTGCGGCGGCATCATGCTTATTTCCACAGAGGCTGGCTTCTAGTATTCTGACTTGGCTTCTGGTTTGCACCAGTGCCTCATGGAAATCTGCATGTCGCTGAGCCACACCCACAGTGGCTACAACCATCTCACTCGAGGCATGACTCACTGGAAAAATCAAAGCTTCGGGCCTCAGGAATACTGTCAGGACTTACAGCGGGCCAAACAACACTAGCCTAGCTGTTTGCAGAATACGGCCAAATATGCGTGTGCATCGGTGACCAAAGTTCGTGGCCCCCGGTTTGGGCCTTTCAAATGTGCGTCAATGCCAGTGTAAGCCAATTAGGTCAGAGCAGGGTGCTCTGCGTGCAAAGGGATCCGTGAACCGAATTATTACAAGCGCAAGCAGCAGCATGCGCACATGCCACTGGCCCAGGAATGGCAAACCATGGAAAATACATGGCTGAAGGACAAGCTTTTCAACAAGTCTTCCCCATTGTCGCTCAAATTTGGACACTAGGTTCCCCTCCCACCATTTCCTGGACACTCTAGATTAAAAAACCACAACTGAGGCAACACTGCACCTATTTCAGCTCTCTCAGCACCTACTTTTTCAGCTTCAAGACTCGAGACACTAGAAACATCCCTGTTCCTGTCGAATTCCTGTCAGCTTTAGTCGAGCTGAAATGGCACACCTAGCACACTCCACTCGGCACGAAGGGCAAAGATTGGTGCACCAAGTACCTCAAAAAGCATGAATATGATATGTACTACAATCTTATATAGTGATTTCTTCACATCAAACATATGAGCAGAGTACGGCGTGCTAGAAACTCCAGTGCTTTGGACAGCCCTGCGCTGTACCTACCGTTCGAAACCTGAAACCTGCAAAAACCACTGGAAAGGAAACTTACCACAGCAGAAACGGTGACAATGCTCCATCCAACCACTGCACACCTCCTCTCTCTCTCACTCTCCCTCTCTTTCACCTGAGGTCCCAACCTACTTCTTGGCCCTGGCGACCGCCCAAGTGCTTTCAAGCACTTTCAATGCGTAGAATGTTGACAGTCCTACTGGTTTCGGTCATACTGTCACACTCAATGGATTCGCAAGCATGGTAATCGTCGCATCTTCTCTGGTTCCGATCTGGACATTCTATGCTTGAGTCATTGAGTCATTTTGCGTCGAAAGCTTGTGTTCCCTCATAGTTCTCTTGAATACTTTTAGATTGCAAGCCTTCTTTCAATTGACGACGGACACTTCCAATTCCAATCCATATCCAGATCTCGTTGCACCCAATCCCGGCGGCTCCGCTTCTTTTTGAGATGCTTCACAATTTTCCCGGTGACCGGGTTGATGAAGCCATGGGCATCAATGGTACATCCGCACCTGAAAACGGATGAAACTGCAAATCCACACATCTTTACAGTTTGAACCCTCAATCAGCCAGTTGTTGATTGGCCCCTTCAGAACTATACAGCAATGAGTTTGACACACCAAAGCTCCAAATGGTGCTGTGTCTGCAAAGCCAACTGTTTCGCAAGTCCCTTCGCTAAAGACTGGATGGCACGTGTAGGTGTCTGTCAGAATCGCAAGGCACCTTGGAGGAACACAACCCACAACCTGTGTGACTCACGTGGCTTGGCATAGATCATTCACTTACTGACTTGGCATAGATCAGCATTCCACACATTGACGTGTACCATGGTTCTGTCCTTGAGACATCTTCGACTGTCTGGTTGCTCTAGGTTGGAAATAAGAACAGACCAGTTGGTGCTCCGTCTACAAGACCCACACTTTCAAGAATCCCGAAGAAGAGTTCATCAATTCTGCAATTCTAGCTCTACCTCCAAATGAAGCCACACAACGATTATGAGAGAAGTCCTTCATCTAGGGCTCAAGCTTGAAGCAAAACCGTGTTCCGCAGTTCCTGCAGCCTCATTTGTTCACATGGAGATCCTGGAGCCCAATCTCTCCGCATCTCTCTACCTTTCATCATCGAATCAAAAAAAGAAGTTCTGTCAGTCCAGGGCCCTGGCTCATCTTGTGGCACTCGGAGTACTGGGTCTGCTGCCGATCCAAATTCTGCTTAGTCACCTGGCTAGAGGTACTGTAGGCTAGAACTGCGATGAGATCCGCAGCTTGCTTTGACTGGCAGATACTCTGTGGATACGTCCCCAGTCAAACACAGTCAAACACAGCCGCAAATCACCTGACCTTCGGTGCAGAGAAAAACCTATTGGTGATACTTGTGCGTCACCCAGACCAAGACATGAATGAAGGCCTGGACACACACACACACACACACCCTTTCCCAACAGCAACCTCTGCATTGGTGAATATCTTGATCCATGGGGAGAGAATTGTGTCAGCTTGTGGATGTATCCCCAAAGGTGACCTCCAGGATGGGTGCTTCCAGGATGGATGGGTGAAGACTCTGAAAACTGAAGCTACTAGGAGCAAAGGGCATCGCTACTAGGGGCAAGAAGCTACTAGGGGCTCCTGGCCTTACTACTGGGAGCAAGAAGCTACTAGGAGCAAAGGGCATCGCTACTAGGGGCTCTAAAATTTCATCTTCCTTTCTTATTGTTCTCCCCCTCCCCTCTCCCAGCGCACCGCCATGCGGCATCTGGGGCACTGTTTGGTGCCGGTCTCTTCCATCCATTGCTCAAATAGCTGATCTGCCTCGTGGCACTTCAAGCTGCATGTTCAGTGGACAATATTCTGGACAACAATGTCATCGCCAACTGTCACAGTTCTGAACTGTCACGCCTGTCGCTCTTTCTTCGCAGCCTTGGTGTTGTTCCTCATCTTTTCAGCGTACTCCTGGCGGCTCCAGGTTTTGTTGTTTGATTCGTTTTGATTTGTTTCTTATTCTGCCAAAAAGCAAAGAACAAAAGCAAGACTTTTCGGGTTCCGCCTCACAAGTCAGACCTCTGTGAAAGGGTTGCCGACCACATTGGATACCTGGCAAACAAACCCGAAACTGATCCAAGTCCAGGCCAGCAATCTGTGGCAAACCACTTGGGGACGAAGCTATTGGAGGTCTCATCCTCCATAAACTTCTACTGTTAATACAAGCCTCGGTTGCATATCTTCATGCCATAAAAGCCAAGACATACACTCTAGCTGCTTGATAGTGCTATGAAGTATTGACTCAATGTGCAACCGTTAATTGATGTTAAGACTGCTTCAAAGTCTTCCAACATTCCAACAGGCAAGGACCCCCAACATAGCCAGCTGCACATGACTCTTTTTTGCACATAGTGCACTTGAACCTTCAAGAGCGATCACTTCCATCTGAATGCAAAAATCACATTCATCTAAACGCAAAATGTACGAGGCTGCAAATGTATTGATTGCAAGTGGGACCTCGTAGTGCCTCCCTCCTCCATGGCAACTCGCATAGGACAATTCCTGGAAACACCAGATTGCTCATCCGTCCAGATATTTCTTCCAACCCTAAGAACCTGGCCTCGCTACTAGGAGCAAGGACGCTACTAGGGGCTCCTGGCCTTACTACTAGGAGCAAGAAAGCTACTATTCTTCCAACTTTGGGGATGTGGGAACCTCTAAGGACCCCTCAGGTTCTGAGCTGCAGCACTGCAGAGAAGTATGGCGCTCTGAGGTTTGGTCGGCGTGGGACAGGCCCGGATGTCTTCGGCACAAGACACCGCTTGTTCCAGGCTTCTGGCCTGACCGAAGAACGAAAAATTGAACAAATTTGGGAGATTGGCTGGTCGAAAGACTCCTCAGGACCACTTCCTCAACCAAAAATAGGGTGGTCCGCACCGGGCGTACCTTGAACTCTGCCTGCTTCAACAATCCAAAACAGCTCAACCTGCCCGACCTAGACTAAGTCAATCAATCCAACAACAGCTTTAAGCATGGATGACTAGTTCACTAGTAATAGATCCTTCCATCTAGACTTTTACAGTTGCTGTTCTACGCCTGGTCGGCTATCAGGCGGCTATCGGCTCAAACGGTCCCCGCCAGAAGACGGTCGATGGTCTCAGTCGGCAACAGCTTCCTCGAGACAGGCTCCAACATGTGTGGAGCGACTGCACCAAGCATGGAGCAATGCACTCGTCATATTCCGGACAAATATGCAGGCTCCACAGTATGGCTAGTGCTACTGAGACTGCATCAAAAAGGTATTGATTGTATCTCTACTCAAAGAATACACACATTCAATACAACAGATTTAAATACCACACACAAGTCTCCAAGCTGTCCTGAGATCCCGCTCAGCCAGGATTGAGGAGCACTCTGGACCTCAGCATGGACATGCTTGCTCCCCGCCATCTCTGGAACCAAACAAGTGGAGTCAATCCGCTGAAAGCTTTGAAGCTTGGAACAACTGGAACAACGAACGGTATTGGTTGTATTAGCTGTATACAACTAACCGGTATGTTTTTAGAGTTGTATTGGTTGTATTTGCTGTGATGTACCCATCCACCTTGCATGCCCTGCTTCTCTGGGCAAGAAGGCACGTAATGGAAGCAGCCCCCATCTCCAAACGAGCCTCTCCAGCAAAAAAAGCAGCAGCTAACAGCAAGCACAAAAGGTGTCATGCTAATGGAATCTGATGGACTTATATATATATATATTCTTTCTTGTGCGCTGGTCTGGAAAGCTCCTCAGGTTCATCTCACAAGCAAAAGTTCCCGAAGCAAAACTGCCATGTTGTTTCTGAGCCTCTGCGTGGCGCAACATACAGGATGCCTGGGTAGTGTCGGAACTTAACTTGACCATCAGGAAGGCATGGGATGATGTCCACGGAGGTCATAAAAAAGAACTTGGTAGATGTCCATCGAGCTAACCCACCTTACTGTAGTCCTAGAAAGCAGTATGACTCAGATCCGCCTTGTCTAACGTTGTCAAAGTCGTCGCTTCTTGGGTGCCCGACACAGTACCAGCCATGGCTACATGCGAGCCGCACCGAATGCCAAGGGGAAGTGTCGCAGCAGCAAATCTGACAGCTTCAAACAGGAGCACTTGGACCCTCTCATCCTCTCCAACCATGGTCGACAATGGCATCGTTTCATCATTGTCTTAATCCCAAATAGTAGGTTGCACGAAGTCTTACATTGCAAGAATAAAAAGCTTGTTCTTTGCTGAGTTGTCACCCGCTGGTCCGGTACCTTGCACACATCCGCTTGGCTGTTGAGCTGCATGTCTGGCCTCAGCAAACTGTAGAAAGTTTGTATTGCTAATCATAAATGTAGAAAGAAAGCCAGTAAGCAAAAATGACGATTTCTGACATCAAATAGTCAACCTGTGTCAGGTGCTGAGGGATTACGGTGCAGGTCGCTTCAACATTTGATAGAGTCTCCGAGTCTCCTGATTTTATAGGCCACTCCAAAACCTGTTTAACGCCACCAACTGCGCAAACTCACATCTTCTTACTTTCATCTTCTTTCGATCCGTGCGGGGTGAAGCAGAACGCACACGTTTTGTTGACGCTCGAGATCCGCATCGCCGTCCCTCTTTGGCCCAGGCTGCGTCGAACATCTGCCCGGGCTGCGGCCATCCACCTATGCTGGCTGAGGTCCACTGCGCACCAGCGAAGCTTCCTCTTTTGGTCTCACACTAACAGAAAGAAGAATGCATTCTTGCATGCCAGACCTAGAGAACAGCTCAACTTTCTGTGCAAGACTACCCTCCCCACAAAATGCATTCCTATCCAGCTGTTATTTGTATTTGTTTCTCTATATAGATGCTTTGTGAGGAATTTGCCCAGCACAGACCCTGCATCGTCGGGCCGCTGCACAGTATGGGTACACACGGAACAAGCGACATAGCCCGGACACCGCCCAGCACCCCACTTACGCCACAAAGCCTGATCCCAATGCACACAGCCTCTCAAGAAGTGCGACTCGTGTTGCTACAGTAGCCAAACACAGGGCTGACCCTGCAGTGAAGCGCAACCACTGTCGCGGACACAGGACACAGCCCAACACAGCGGCACGCCGCCGGACACAGCCAGACGCAGCTAGACACAGCCGAACACAGCCTGACGACCAACTGCAGGTGGTTCGTGAAGAGAGAACCCCCAAACAACTCCCAACGTTTCCCAACCATGGGAAAAGACTTCAAAAAATGTTTATTGGACCCAATGTCCGCACCATATCAGTACTCCACCCAAGCCATTCAAGATGCCATTCAAGCACCCAAAGGCAAGCCGGAGGTGCTGAGGATCTGGAGGGGGTGGGAACCGAAGCCATGGCAGAAGCTCCCTCCTGACGGCGGCAACTGCAGCCGCTGAGAGACCGTGAAAACGTTTCCAGCGCCTGAACACGGATTTTCACGCTGAAGCCAAACAGTCTTCGTTTAAGAAAGATCAAAATGTCCATGGCCTTTCCTGGAATCCAGTTGTGATTCTGGTTATGCAACAATTGTGATGCTTCGAAAGGTTTATGCCAAACAATCTCAATCTCTTCGTAGGATTGCCGTGCAGCACCGAGTACATAGAAGGCCCTTGTTCGACATATCATGAGTGAATTTTCTTTTCCCCAAACATCTCCCATAGCTATTAGGTTGGAGGCCATCGCTGATAGGTTAGAGGGGTTGGAGGCCATCGCTCTTAGGTTGGCGTAGCCCTTCTGAAGGGCTTCTTCTCACCAATGCGTCACATCTCAGATCTACGGAGGCCATCCGAGTCTCCACCGGTTCCTGCCGCATCTTCTTCACACCATCACCCTGCCGTTTGGAGCTCACGAGTGTTTGGATAGCCCCGTTCAAAGCATAAATTCTAAAGGGGTCATTCCCAAAGTCGCGCATCTGCAACAAACGTCCAGCTGGGCTTGTTGGTTCATCTGAGGTGATGTCTTGCAAATCCTCTGGATTCTTCCGGAAATTCAACAGAGAGAAATCCATGCCTTGCCTGTGCTGCAGGTCTTTTTCTCGGAGTCTGTGACACGGACCCAGCCCTGAAGCCAAAGGTGGACAGGTCATGAACCACCCACAAGACGGCCAATCTCACTCCACTTCAAAACCAAAAAGGTCTTCAATTATATTCATGTTTTTCCTCGTCTCTTTTGCTCCAGCCTCTTCTGTCTTCAATTATATATATATATATTTACAGTATGTATACATGGGTGTGTCTCAGAACAAAATTTGGCATTGGACACCATCAGCTAAAGGAAGGCTAGACAAAGTCCCTTAGGTTGTGTCGCTCCATTTGAGATCAAGCCAGTAAACCTAAGGGCTTCGACGAGACAGTCTGCGTCCACAAAATCTGCCTGCCTGAAATGCACCAAATACTCAGCAACTTCAGGGCACTCAGGCCTGGATGCAGTGGCACACCCGCCAGTGCACTAGCACATCTTTGGGATGCTCCAACAGGTGGGTCGGTCACCATGTGGCCTTGCTCCTAGTAGCGATGCCAATTGCTCCTAGTAGCTTCTTGTTCTTATCAGTAAGGCCAGGAGCCCCTAGTAGCGTCCTTGCTCCTAGTAGCGATGCCCTTTGCTCCTAGAAGCTATGCTTCCTGATCAACTAGGAAAGTTTCCAACCCCAGCAAGTGAAGAGCTTCTGGTCAGTGCTCCTGCTCAGAAAAGGGTTGTCATCGTACCCAAAAATCAAAATTGTGAAGACACAAACACAACGACCCAACCACATATGCATTCAACACACAGCTCAAATCTGAATCTGCTCTCAGGCGTGCTATCATGATTCGAGAAAGTCTTGTGCCCAGAAGCCTATTGAATATGGAATTCGCTCTTAGGTTGGAGGCCATGGCTAGTAGGTTGGAGGCCGGAGAGCCTAAAGCAGCCAAGAACGGCCCGTCCCTTGAGGCCACAGACCGCAGGATATTCAAATAGGCCTCAAGCCTCAAGTGACGCCGTTGTTTGAGACTCGAGCGAAGGTGAAGTCAATGCATGAGCACACCATTCCTTTGCACCAACTTGTCATGTATGTCAACTCAAAAGAAATTGACATTGTCCCACAGAGCAGCCTGCTGAAATCTTGTTGAATCGTGTGTGTGTGTGTACATTTATATATATATATCAATTGAAGTGAAATGTTGGTTTCTGCAAAACTGCAGAACTTTGACCAGCCTAAGATTTTGGTAGATCTTTGGCCAGCGAGCAGCTGCCTGGATATGGATTCATCTCAATTCTTGTGAGAAAGTCTGAAAGCCTGCTTAACCCCGAAGCCCGGGCGATGGCAAAACCACAAAAGCACTGTCTGGCTTTTCCACCGTTCCGGCTGTCATGGCTCATGAACGCAAGCAAAGAAATTATGCAACCTGTACGGCGTATCTTCTGCCAACACAAAGGAGTATTGCTTCCGGTAATTCACCTTCCATGTGGTGGATAAAAATTACAGTTTCTTTTCTCTGTCGTTGTAACATGTTGTGACAGCTTTCCTTGCAGCTAGTGCAAATACTCCAACATCTCCGAACAACATCCGACAAACTTGGCCTCCTTCCACCACTTCAAACCCTGATCGTTAGGCTCAATCGCACGCACTTCAGCAAGAGATGGTGAAACAGCCTCCAAGGCTGGCCGGTCTCTTTTTAGGCCGTGGCCCGTTCGGTACTAAACAAGCTCCTAGATACTAAACACGCTCTTACCTAGGACGCAGGATAGCTCACACTATTCATTTGGATCCTAGAGTTTTAGAGGAACTTACAGTAACTTAACTTAGCAAGTGAGTCGTAAGCAGGTTTGACTTTGATTGCTGTTTCTCACTTCTGGGGTCACTTGCCAAAAAGCAACCACTCTCCCAGGTCAGCCTTGCACGGGGATTCAGAATGCGACCTGGCAGGTTGCTCACGAAAATGAAGTAGGATGGCATCTTCGCTTAACAAACCAGTCACATTCAGCCAAACGGATGTATACTTTATACTGGAACCAGGCAATTCCAGCTGCAGCATTGAGATGGCAAAGCTGCTCTGCGAGAAGATAATGAAACAGTTTCTTGGGCAGCATTTGGCCGAGCAGCATCTGAACGTTGGTCTCCTCCACAGGTGTTGGAGCAGCCACGCTCTGGTCCCCTCCGCAAAGAAGCGGAACAGAAGCTGATAATCTGACATTAATTATACAACTGCAAGCTAAAGGCTAAAAATGTGTGATTCACCTCAATTGATTCTGCCTGGCATTATACACACACCTTTACTGCAATCCTTGCGATCCTTTACTGTAGCTAGTTCCGCATATCCCATCTCCCACCTGACGCCGTTCCGTCCGCCATTTCGGAGGGCGTAGGCCTTGAGAGGATGGAGGATGTCCTCCACCTCTGGGACCGTCGTCTGACCCGAGACGACTGGAAAGAGTCAATCCAGTCCAAGATCTGTTATATAATAGTGCTTCTATTTTACGTCTGAATCTCAAAATTTCTACCTGATCTTTAAAGGGATAACATTCAATACTTCTTGGACTGAGTTGTTCTTGCTCGAGATTTCCTGGAGCAAAATACCTCCAGAGTTGTGCTTTTCATTGCACCTCAAAAGTCATCCATCCGTGAATCACCACATCAGGAGATCCACCACAGAGCTTCAAGACTGTCATACTGTGGTTATGCCTACCTACAAAGCAACGAAAAACAAGTCCGGCGTCTTCCTCCTTGGCTGTGTAGCAAACAATCTTTATACTATACAATTCTTGCTTGCGTTCCTGCTGGAAAATTTCACTGAAAGAAGAATGGTTTCGTCTCGTGCTGGGGCAGACACGCCGAGGATCCAGTTTCCTGCCAATGTACTCTGTGTGAACAAGTGGAAGGAATATCCGTTTGCAATTTCTCCCATGTTGACTCACGCAACACATATAGCAAATAAAGCAAATGCTCCACTCAAATCTAGCTTTGATCAAGATCACTACCCTGGGACTGGAATCCGTCAGTAGAGCCACCTCTGACTTGGCTTTAGGCCGCTCAAGCACTCGCTGTAGCAGCGCGGAGTGGCCCGCCATCAAGGCCATCTGGAAATGAAGTCTCTCAAGCTTCCAAAAGAAAGACAGAAGTGAATTCATCTATTCTCGTTGACAAGGCAAGCTGTAGGTCCCAAATATTCAGAAACACACATGGTATATAAGCATGAGAACGGAAAGCTGCTGCTGACATCATAACAGTCACAAAGTGGCTTGACAAGCATGGTCTCACCCTTGCCTCTGGCTAAGAAGCAAATGCAATCAATGTGATGATCTCTCCGGTTCATATGTCGTAGTGTAATGGTGGCACGTATCCCCCCGCATAGATTTCACGTCGTCTTGTATGTCTATCGGGCATCTATCTATACTCTGTACATGCTCCACTGCTAACCTACTCGGATGGCCACAACCTCTTCAAGAGGTGAAATTCCCGTAGACGCACGTGTGGGCACGGCACCCTCAGCAAAGGCAAGAAAGGGTTCAAGGTATAACTGTAGCTGGATGCACCAGATCATTTCATACCCACAAGAAACATGAAAAAGCCGTTGCAGTTCAAGATCTTCCAATTGGAGTGCCATCTGCTTCTCTGCATCGCGTCAGAAACGTTCAGCCCCTGCTTTTGACCTGTGGCCTTGGCGGGTGCTTTCTTCCCTGTGGCCCGCCGACGAGGCCTGAATTGTCGGCAGGACGCTCAATGATGATTGGGGCCCTTGAGCTTGTCATCCAGAAGGTTAGAAAGGCACTGCCGCAACAAAACCACTCTTTACTAAGCAGGGTTTGGATGGCTCGATGCTTGTTTTAGCTGTGGCCGTGTAGCTCCCCAAGACCCAAAGAATCCACTATGTATTTGTACAAAAGGCGTACCAAGTCTATTGCTTGCGCCGTGTAACTCCACCAGCCCCGCCTCTCTATCATTTGGTGTGCCGTTCCTGGCACCTCGGCATGTTGAAAGGGAAGTTTCACACTGTGCCTAAGACTTGTTTTGCCTCCAAGGTAATTCTCACAATATGAGCCAGGAAGCAGCTCTCAAACTCCATCCAAGCGCAAAGTTGGTGCAGCTTAGCAAATGAATAACAAGATCAAATCATGTAAAGTTTGTTCTTTGTTCACGGAACATCTTCTCAAACATCCACCAAATTTGCACCTTGGACTCGAGAAAACTGATTGCCTGACATGTCCAACGAGGCAACTGTCCAACTCCCAACAACAAGGTGCCTGCAATTGACATTCCAACGATCAACCTGAAAGTCAGCACAAATATGCAATACACTCACAATCAACGATTTTAACCCGCCTCCTCCAGTGAGGAGCAAGCCTGAAGTGCTTCTTCCACTCGAGCCTGAAAGAAGGCATGCCAACTGCCAGCAATCGGAAAAATGCCTCCTGCTTTTAGCGCACAAGAGAGTCCCAAAGAGCATCCGGATAGCCCCTTTCAACGAGAGCCACAGCAACTTCCACAGTGCTGGAGTCACGCACCATGGCCTGCATATTCCGAACCACTCTACAGACTGCAAATTTCCAAGGACGTTTGCATTGAACGTGGTGGCCATTTTGGAGACTCCTTGCAATCCTCTCCCACTGAAACGAAGGATTGCTAATTGGGGTGGGCGGCAGCTCATTGATATTGCAAATGCTCTACATTGTCAGGTTGCAAACATTCCTTGGTTGTACAAAATGTAAAATACAATACAAAACTCAAACGCAATCATCGAAAATGATCCAAAATGGTAGCATCTGTGGAAATAAATTTGGCAACCCAAAGCACCCCTGAGGCACCAGGCTCTCACAGACCTACTCAACTCCTGTTGAATTGAACCAAAACACTGTAACTGCGATGGTGGAACCGTGGTGCACTCATCTGGGTGATCTTCTCTTTTGTGCCAATAGCAAGTGCCAAAAGACATTGCGACAAGACTAAAAAATCAAGTGTTCCGGTCCAATACCATGGATATGTTTGAATATTGAACGCATCAAACCATTGGGGTAACATTTTTGAAGCATAACCGCAAAAAAATAGATCATGTGTTTGTTGAAGAGGGGTGCGACATGACTTACTTGTCAAAATATTCCATTTGGTTATGTCCGAACTTTTCCTGATACTCAAAGAGCTGCGGTCAAGTGAGAAATGACAGATATGCTGTACAATCATACCTATGATCTATGTTACAAACTATTCACATTCCTTCTCGGTAGTGTGAGGGTTCATCAGCTCTTTCAGCTCACTCTTCCACCTGCATAGGTCTGGTCTGTTTTTCTCTAAGGAACGGGGTTCCTTCAGATATCCATTGCTGTGTCTTCTGGGTTACCTAATCTTGTTTCTATCTCATCTAGTGTCATGTGGTATCGATTTCTTTCATGGTCAACTCTATCTATCTGCTAGTTCAAACAGTCCTCTTCCTTCTAGTACCCAATGTTTTTGGCTCGAGCTTTCGATCTTTCTTTGAAGTCGTCCACATAGCTGATTCGTCTGTTCTTCTTCGCATTCCTCCCTGTTCACATATTTTGCGTTTCCTGGTCTGAATCGTCTTGGTCCTCGTCCATCTGTAGGAACTGCTCCTTGGGTGGCTGCTTTTAGCATCACAGTATGTCCATGATACTGTCCCCTTGTTGACCTCATGTCCTCTAAGCTCCTTCGGGCTAAGTAGTTTCCTGCACTTGTCTGTGCGATCATGTCAAAGCTGATTCTTGATTTCACAATCACTCACCTTTGCACAAATGAAACCTCCCTGAATTTCTGTTCGATGTTCCATATACCTCCTTAGTCTCCACACTGCGAAAGTCATTGTTGCGAAGCCGATGATAATGATCATGAATTTTGTGGTTTTCCAATTTGCATTGGAATCTTCTATTTCCAACCTGCACTGGTCAATCTCTCTCATGAATGTGCTTGCTTCTGTAACCATTGGCTGCAAGCCTTCAAAAGTCACGATTCTGACAATCATCTTGGCAATGTTGTTGACCTTGCCTGCAAAGTTCTTTCTCTCTTCATACGCCTATCTCTCAAGCTCACTAAGGCTCATCAAGAATCTGATTCTCTGGCCTCCAAGTGGCTTGGTATGCATGTCTGCCATGCTGCTGCCTGTCGGTCTACTTGTACCATATTGAAATTTTTCTGCTCTGAATCCACAGCAACTTTCCATTAAGATGTCTCACTGGTCCCAAGCTGGCACGCACTCGAAGAATCTGTGAAGATGTAATGGTTCACCTTTGTCCCAAGCGCAAACTCAAGAACTGAACAAAATGCACATACCATCTGAAGCTGAAGAAAAACTACTGCGCGCAGCTCTGCCTCACATGAAGATAAGCTGTCCTGCTGCTATTGAACAATGGACAACTGTTCAATGCATGGAATCCTCCTGATGTTGACTTCCTATGGCTTTTGTTCCCGCTCAAATCTGAGTCTGAGAATGTCTCTAGGAACCAATAGTGTTCATCTTTCTTCACGTAGCCTTCTCCTGCTTGTGGAATTTCAACTACTAGACAACAGCCCAAAGTTTTCTTCAGGTATCCTAGAAACTTCTTCAAGTGATGAAAGGACATCGTTGTTGGATTTGCAAGTTCCCAACCATCAACGCTTCTGATTAGGCTGATCTTCTCTTGATCATTCAAGATTTTTCACTTTGTCCTCCATCTGCATTGAGTTGTCTGATGGTAGCGGTTGAAGTTTGATCTTTCCAACTCGTTCTTCATACGCCGTCAGCGTCTGCTGGATGTAGTTACCTGGTTGAATCGCAGGGAAGCAGCACTATTTGTGCAAACTTGACAGGCGACAACTATCTAAAGTGCTTTGCACTGATCACAGGTCACAGTGGTAGCATCGCTCACTATCGCTTGGCACGATAGAGACATGAGTACCGCTGTTTTCCACGGCCAGAACCATGTCGCCCTATCCGGCACCTGTGCATTCGACCTGCAGCTTTCCCTTAGATTGGCTATGACTTTGCCCTACACCAATGAGCCTTGATCAATAGCCAGAGCACTGATTTCAACAAGGGCTCTGGCACTGGCCTGTTCCTACAGGCCAACTGTCCTCCTCTTTCGCAAGAACATGCTAGCAAGACTTGCTTCGAAGCTCATACCAGAATTCATCGCCCAAGTACAACGAAGTCATAGTTCAGTCTCACTCATGTTTCACCCGATTTGAATCTCCTCCTCTCTCGGTCTGCCTGTGGGTGTTTTGGTTTGTTTGGCTTGTTTGGTTGGTTGTGGTTTCTTTTGCTTGTTTTGCTCCTTCGAGAGTACTTGGAGATTCAAACCTTAGTCAAAGATGACCTGCGCACCATGCACACATGGCGTCTCCACTCGCGCAAAAGAAAAATCTGGGGGGCACCTCCCAAGGCTTGCGCCGTGTTTTAGACATGCATGCATTGACGCAAAACGAGAGAAGGCCATAGCGCCAGAAGGCTGGCTCCGCATAGAGGGCGAGCTCTGCATTCTCCATATCAGCGCATTGCGTATTGTCCTGCCGAAGGAAGGAAAATAGTTCGGCTAGAGGGGTAGCGACGGCATCACAGATGCCATCCACATCCCTATGCACTTCTTGCACCACCTCTCTAGGTAAGTCTACGAAAGCATGGCCTCGGAAGCTCAGTTCGGCGAGGCGTCGGAACAGGGTGATCCGCAGTAGTACGCAGACACGCCGAATGGAGACACTCATACGGGCAAGGGGCATGGCATATAGATTGTAGGGGGGAGGTTCACCAGGCTGGTGCGGATTGCAAATGGATCAAGCCATCACACTTGCCTCAAGCATACTGTGAAATGATTCGATCTCTGTCTGGATCTCGCGAAGAACATCAATCAACCCATCAATCGAAGGTTTCTTGACAGTGAACTTCAAAACAAGCTCTCTGTAGTAAAGGGCCTCCTGCCTACTGTAAATTGAGAACTCACGTCGAATCAATCTGAAAAGTTCATAGCCATTTGCATCAGCTGCCCCTCGGGCCATGATTTGATTTCGGATCATGTTTTCAATCTTGGGGTATCCTGTAAAGGCCTGCTGAATCAGATGGAAAAGTCGCCTTGCCCTGAGCTCCTGATCTGCTCCTCGCAAGACAATTGGCTCTTCCATGCGAAGTGCCTCCCTCAATTCTGGGCCATATTGATCATGTATGAGTGCCAGCCAACCTCCTACCTTCTCTGCCCAATCCCTGAACCCTGAAAGTTCTCGAGACCTGCTAACCCACTGCTTGAACGAAGGTAGTGGCATTGCTGGGATCCACTTTGTGTCCATTGTGAGTCGTTCACGTTCAGGGACTCCAACAGGTGGTTGCTGGGGTTGTTGTGGCTGTTGTTGTTGGTTTCCCCGTCTCATAACATCGATCAAAGTCTGTCCCAATTGCAGCTGTTGTTGCATCAAACTTGCCAAAACTGGATCTACTCCCTGAGCTTGTGGGGGATGAGGTGGTGGAATGTTCCAGTCCCAGTTTGGTGGAAGTCCATAGGTGGCATCTCGTCCCTGTCCAGATCCTCCAACACCAGAAACATCTTGTGAAGACCTACCACCATCTCCTGACTGTCCTGCAGTCACCCCATCTCCAGAATGGCCTGAAAAATCTCTATAAGGCTGACTCATTGGATTCACAGAACGAACTGATGTTGTAGTTGGTCCATACTGAGCCCACAACGCCTGAGTCACATCTCGCTGGCTTCCAGGACCAGAATGCCAACTCTGCCAAGGATCTCTCGCTTGCAAAGGGTCAAAAGTCTGTGAAGACTGACATGCATACGGTGGTCCAACACTCAAACCAGGCGCGTTCGCCAAGGAAGGAACCAAAGACGAACTAGGTACCACACTTGTATGATCTTGACCTTCTGCACTTGGACTCATTGGAAACATCTGAGGTCCAGGGCTCACTCCAGGCGGACTCGAGGCTTCAGCCGGTGGTCCAAGCGTCACAGCTGGACTCGTTGGAGTCGTATTCTCCATGGCTCACAAAAAGGCTCAGAGAAAACCCTACAAACAGTTCTCCTTTCTCTCAAAGCGTCTGCCCCTCACCCTTAGGATCCTCGCGGCTCCGCTACCATGTGAAAACACGGAAGCGAGTGCGACCCCTTTTTGAATCCCGCTCTTGAGCCAAACATAACAGTCGGTTTGACTGTATGTCTGTTCGTCCACTCTTCTCTGAAGAGGTCTGACTGGTCACAGTCGTCCAAAACATACTAAAAGTCCAAGAAAGCATCTCCAAACACTCTCAAGCAAAGCTAGGCTATACACAGCTCATCTCAAGCACTGCAGCTCTATACTTAGGGCTTCTCTAGACATGCTCCAAGCCACTTCAGGTCACATTCCACCTAGTCCTGCTAAGGTGGTCAAAGAGAACACACTCCAAGGAGAAAGATCCCTACTCAGCTCCAACCCCAAGGACAGAAGGCTCTGCCAAACCGGGCCTTAGCTCACCAAAAGCCCCCGAGCACCTCCCCAGTATCCCTGAGCAAGACCTATTGCGGGCATTATAGGCCCACCAGCAAGCGCAGACGGGAGTGTCCACAGGATTGCTGGACTTAGCACCTGCTCGCCCAGCACCAGCGGGTGCAGCTGACCCACAAATGCCGGAACCAACTATAAGGAACAGTATCCCAAAGTGGCTGAGACAGCCAAAGAGCAGTGAGACAGAGTGAAACGTGGGGCGATGAATTCAACCTTGGCACTCAGTACTTGACCTTCCTGTCGTTTCATGTCTTTTCCTGTTTTCTTTGTTTGCTTTGTTTTCTTTGCTGCCTGCACCCAGTGCTCGAATTCATGGTGGGTGTAGACGCAAAACCAGGCAGGTTTCATGGCCGTGTGCCCTGCAATCCCAAGGTTGACGAAACCTTTCCAAAAAGGCAGGC